AGTTTAGATGCATTCCAAGTGGTTCCTCAAGAATAACACAACACAACACATCTACATGTGATAATGGTAGTTGTACTTTCTGCCCAGGGAGTAGTAAGGAAACATGAAAGTATTTCTCCATGACAAGGCATTACCCTTTTGACACTCCTTGACACTTCACAATACATACTCTGCATTGGTGAGGCCACACCTTGAGTATTGTGTTCAGCTCTGGGCCCCTCAGTTCAGGAAGGATATTGAGGTGCTGGAGCGGGTCCAGAGAAGAGCAACGAGGCTGGTGAAGGGACTTGAGCACAAGTGCTATGAGGAGAGGCTGAGGGAGCTGGGGTTGTTTAGTCTGGAGAAGAGAAGGCTCAGAGGTGACCTCATCACTCTCTTCAACTACCTGAAGGGAGGTTATAGCCAGGTGGGGGTTGGTCTCTTCTCCCAGGCAACCAACAATAGGACAAGAGGACATGGGCTCAAGCTCTGCCAGGGGAGGTTTAGATTAGATGTTAGGAAGAAATTCTTTACAGAGAGGGTAATCAGGCATTGGAACAGCCTACCCAGAGAGGTGGTGGATTCACCATCCCTGGAGGTTTTTAAGCAGAGATTGGATGTGGCCCTTAGCGCCATGCTATAGTAATTGGAGTTGGATCAGGGGTTGGACTTGATGATCTTGGAGGTCTTTTCCAACCCAATCTATTCTATGATTCTATGATTCTGTATTACATACAACCATAAAAGATGGCATTCCTGGACTTCCAATGCAGCTGTATCACTGCCTGAATCATTTCCTTAACTGCCCTATTCCAGGTATTTGCCAACATGGACCCCCACATGTGCTGGGTTTTTTCCTCCCTCACCATCAACTTAAAAGCCATTTCTCCAGCTCCATTTGGCATGTTATCTGTAGTTCTTCCTCATTCATTTTCTTCAGTCCTTCCCCACCCTTATCTCGAGTTCTCTCAACATCAGCTTTAACAAAGCACCCAATGCATGTACTCTTTCTATGAGCATCAGAGAATATAGAATTTCTCTTCTCTCAGTTATGCATAAAAACCAGATTTTGCTGACCCTTGCCCTTAAGCGCAAGACTGTGAAAGCTCCAGATCTGATTTTGAATGCTGAAGCTGTACCAGGGTGGAGCACAAGTTACTTCCCTGTGCGTCATTACACTACCTACTACTTTTGCTGCTGATCTCAGACTTTCCATCAAGCCCTGACTGCACAAAATTCTTCAAAGAAGTAAGCTAAACAATAGTATTTTCTTTACAATTGTGTTTAAACCAATATTTGGTACCAGAAAAAAAAAAGGCCACGCTGGAGGTGAGTAAATGAAAGCTCTGCCAGAAAGACTTCTAGGAGAATGACAAATGACTTGTTGTTTCAACATAGGTTACGTCTAGCATGACACACTTTTCCCAGTGCTGGGAAGGATGTCAGAAACTAAAAGATGACACTTCCTTTTGTACCATATACAACAACAACAAAAATTATAAATAAATGTACAACAAACATCTGTTGGACAACTGCCAAAGTAAACTATTTAGTTTGCTTTATTCAGGAGTGACAGCTAGAGTTCCTATCACCACTTCAACAACACACATTTTAAAATAGATTTTAATTCAATCTTAAAATAAACAAACATTTTTATCATTAGCACGTTATGCAGCTCCATTTGAGATCGCTCATTCAAACTATCTTTAAGAATTATATATTTCTAAAATACATTTTAAGAACTGTAACTCCCAGCTTAAAACTAAATTCAATGCACGTTCACTAAATTCACTGTTCGTGAATGGACTGTTATACACAGCTTGTAGGAATCAAGGAGGTTGCTTATGGCACCAGGCCAGTGTTATTTCACCTCTGAATTTTGTAACTGCAGCAAAACAATGAGCAGGACATATTTATTCTCAGTAGGTACCACAACTGTGATGATATGCTTAGTGGAACAACAGGTAAGAACACTTAAGATTAACTTATCTGGACAAGTATTTGTCCAAATTTGGGCAAATCTGGACAGTCCATAGACAAGTACGACTAAGCTACTGAGTTCCCTCACTGTTAATTTTTACTGAATATCAATGCCTTTAGTTGTATCTCTAAAGTAAAAGTTGCAAAAGAGGAAGTGGATCTCAAAATAAAAAAGTTATTTTTATTCTAGCATTTAGTGTTAAGGAAACACTATTTTCCTTTCAGTAACTCAGTTGCCAATCACAGCGTTTGAACATATGCAGATCTCAGCAGAAGCTTCCCAACTCAAATGCCACAGTAAACCAGCAAGCAGTGATATCTTATTTAAGGAACAAAAATAAACACAATTTATGCTTTATTTGCGCAAGCACTTTATCTTGGCATAAGGCAGCATTGCCGTCACAGGAAGCAGTCCTCCCAACTTCTGTTTTGATGTCCCAGTTTGAGGCTGGTCAAGCAGACACAGAAGTGCAGGAAGAGCACTCTGGTAGCAGTACTCACAGAACTAAAGTTTTTGGGTCTGTGGCAAGAACTGGAAAACATTTTTCTCTGTTCAACATGCGAATTCCATCGACTTGCTGACATACTCAGTAAAACTTGTGACATCAGCCCCATAAGAAACTCTGCATGAATATCTACCTCCCAGGCTTTATACTGTCCACTATCCCTTTTTTTTTTCCCAAGCAACATAGCATTTCAGTTATAATTCATATAGTTCGGTTCCCCTCCAACTCTTCTTTCCTATAATTCTTCAGGATACCAAGTCAAACTCAGAAGACAAAAGGTCTATTCCAGACCTCTCAATTTCTAATCCCCATTTGCAAAGCTCTACACTTCCCTTAAATCTCATTAGTTTCCTTCCCCAATCTCTTCAAAGCCTCTACTCTTCTGTCCTCCTAATATGCATCTACATGTTTCCATTCCCATCTACCTTCACCTCCTTAAGTCCCTATAGCAAAAAATATGAACTGCTTCAGAAAACAATATACACACAGTTACATAAATTCCCTAATGTGATAGAGAATCATATTCAGTTTGAAGATTCTGTGGTAAGTGAAAACAGCCTTCAAGGAGTAATCTCCATAGGTAAGTCTGGACAGATTTATTTGCAAACTACAAGATGGGCATTCAAATAACAGGTGGGAGGACATGATCAGAGCTAACAATTACTTTGAGAAAGATAAATAATCCAAAGTCAGTAAGACAAAATTCAGTAAAGGCATAATTAAGTATATTTAGGAAGAATTAAAATGTAAAAATATACTGGTTGAGAAGCAATCATGGTAGAGAAAGATCCTGGCATCACAGCACTTCACCAACTAGAAATAACTCTAGTAAAACAATTAAATCTTATTTAGAATTTTGCATGAGAGACAGAAAACAATTATTCTACAGCATTTAGTGCTGAGGAAGACACTCCAAAAATATTAGTCTGCTTTTGGATACCATATTTTAAAGAAATGTGGATAAATGGAAAAAAAACTTATAGAAGGGAAACATAACAAGGCAGGAGTTCAAAGGAGCTATGTCATAAGAAATTACAGCCAATTCTAGATGAAAGAAGCCTAAGGTTGACGAAATGTTCCAAAAAATTATAGTAAAAATTACAGTAAAGACTTGTTCACCAATTACTCAGGACAGGGGAAAAAAAAAAAAGTTTGCCTAAATTTCCATTAGTTGGATTTGCATTGGATACTAGGGAAAAAAAAAAAAAACAAAACACAAAGAGAAGTACTAGAAGATACAAAGACTGTACAATCTTCTTGTGTGGAGGATTTAAGAAAACTTAAACAAGCATAGGAAAAGTACAGTTAAACATACTTGAACCTTTTTGCCTATAAGATTTTGGATTATACCATTTTATATTCCTGTTTTCAGCTCTCTCTTTTTATTATTTATCTTTACCAAAGCCTGGATCAAAGAGTGCATTACATCTTCCACTTCACTTGGAATAATAAATCACAAGAGAGGGTGATCCGTGTTCTCATGAAACGGAAGATGGGTAAATACCGAAAATGTTGTAAAGTTTTTCAGTCTGCTACTTCATAACCGTTTTGTTCTCGAGTTTTTAAGGGTCATCACTTGATAACCTAGAGAAATCTTAAGACAGAATTCATAATTCCCTGTCCATGCACAGTGTATACCTACTATGAAAAACCTTTGTATAATCTAATCAGTATATAAAGTATGTCACTTGCACTAGTGGTGTTCACAGAAATGTAACATTCTTACTAGGTTATTTTTCCCTTGTTGCTCAGTTTAAATTAATGTTTAAAGAAAAAAAAAAAAAAGTAAAATTTATCATAATACCTTTTAATTGGGAACTGGCCACATTTAATAACTTTAATTTTTAATCAGAATAACTCAGAGGCTATACAGGCTTTATTAAACACAACTATATAAATTACTTTGCTTGTCAGACAGAAAGAAAACTGAAAAATGGGAAAACAAATTGTGTCTGCTTTTACCTGGTTTGCATTCATAGAGGTCACAGCATTCCCCTGGCTTTCCTGATGCCTTAGAAACCAATATATTCAAATAGCCGGGCTGGCAAACCTTCCTCAAGCAGCCTGCAGGATTACACACACAACGGCTTGGGAGTGGACAGCATTCACCAGGAGGAGCATAACCTTCAATCAGGATGGAATCTTCTGGACAGCGAGGAGAAAACTGGACTTCACAGCGGGCCTTGGAGCAATCAGGTTTCTCTTCTGAAAGGGAGAGAAAAATCAGCATGCCATATGTGTCAGTAAAACACTGTACTGAAGCTGTAAACATGAACTCAGTTAAAACTCCCTTTCTTCTCCTTCCCCCAAAACAATAAAAAAGAAAAGGAAACAGCTGCTGCTGAACTGAGTAGTAAAACTTATGGAATATACTTAAAAAAAACTAAAGGTATTTGCAAGATGGCAGGTGCCTTACGGAGTATCTTACAAAATGCTAATCTGTTCAATGTGTGTGACTGCTGAACCCACATGGCCTCAAGAACAGCTGTGAAGCTACACAGTTGGCCAGGACATTTAGAAACAACTTGTCACATCATGTCAGCTCTAAATTCACACCTATACCTTCAGTTTCTGAAGATCTTCCATTATGAGGAACTGATTTTAATTGACTGATTTATTAACCTGGACTGAGCTTTCACTTATTCAAAAAGCTAATTAAAAGTTCAACATCTAACATATTTGCAGAAGAGGATTTTTTCTGTACACAGAAGCATGTTCACATGTTCACATTAGAAGCATTGTTCCTGTGTACTTTCACAGCTTGATCACTAACAGAAGAGGTTTGACTATGGTGATGAGGTTCGATGATGATCCTTATGGGTCCCTTACAACTTAGGATATTCAATGATTCCTCCATTCTAAAGTACTAAAAACAAGTACTTTATATTTTTTTCTTACAAGCAACAAAGGTTATTACTAACTTAAATATGCTACTAGATAGAGTCATAACTCTTTTCTTATAGTTAAAAATCCCATTATTTCCATCTATATTCAAAACAGCCTTGACTAGATATGTATTTTGCCTGGAACTTTAAATAACATTTGTAAGACCAATGTTTTTCTGAAACATATCCTTTTGTTTAGATTCTTATCTGCTTTATTAAACACACTGTTCAGACTGAACATTACTGATTACAGAGGTTCACTGCAGAAAGCGGTATAAATAATAGATAACATACTAGTTTCAGTATTTTACTGATAGTCTTTAGTTTACAGATATAACAAAAGGTTTGACATTTTAGCTTTTAAAATTATTTTTGTTTTCCACTATATGTAGTTCAACACGCAGAGAGAAGTGATAGAACTGCTGCAGTAGAAGCCCTTGAAGTTTGTACTTATGATAAGGCTCTTGATAGAATACTTGTATTTAAGATAGAGCCTTGAATTCCAACTGTTCATTGATCTGCCCTAGCATTATGCATCAGCAATCTTCTGATTTCCATGACTAGCAGATAATCCCATTGTCATGCAATCTCTCTCAAGAAAAGACAAGTTTACTACTATTTTTTACTTAACTGTAACTAGATGTATGCGTGTATCTATATGAAGATATGCATTTCCTTAAGGTCTGCTTGTACTTGCAATTGGTCAAATCCAAACAATACAATTTGGCCAATGCAATCGGTCAAATACAATAAAAACTCTGACTAATTTGGCCAACTTTCAGAAAGGTAAGATATGTCAGAAATGCATGTCAAAGTCTTGGGATTCTGACTATTCAGGACTCTAGATATCTCTCTTTTGAGGACCTATAAAAAGCCTGCTATTGGAGTTGGTAAGATCACCTAGCAAAAATATGAAAACAAGGATATATCACTATCAACATGTAAGGCACATCACAAATAAGAGAAGAGAGAAATTTAAAGCAGAGAGCCATGACAAGTATTTTGTATGACTTTTTCAGTCAATACTATCTTTGATAATATTTTCCATGTCATTGTGCCCAACATAGTTAGTGGTAACAGAATAAATAAATAAAGCTAGCATCTCTTTCAGAGGAAATGGTTTAAACATAACCACTACCTTGCAAATATATGTTTATGTTTTAACACCAGGTAACATAACACTAGTAGATATTTGGAAAATAAACTAAAGGTTTTCTTTTTAATCCAGTGTCACTATTACTTTTGTATTTCATAGTCCTGAAAATCCTACTAATAACTCCCTATGAACACTCGTGTAAATATCATGCTTCCAAATTACATCTCAAACTATGTACACATTGAAAAATTCCCTTTCCAGTATACAAAAGCAACCGAGAAACAGGAAAGTCAAATATATTAACCCAAGCTGGATCAGCCAACAGATAATTATTTCTTTCAGCTTTTCAAACTCCAGCCCACATGAGAGTCAAAAACAGGTTAAGAAACTTTCTGCATATCATGATTTGGTTCTTGATTTAGATGTCATTTTCCTTTATGGAAAGGAGCTACTGGTTGAAATGATATGTGGTCAGCCATATATAAAGTGTTTTCCTGCACAGTCCCTATTCATATTTTCGAACATAATCTTTACCTAAAACATGAAAATCCAGCAGCTCTAGGTCTGGCATTACTATATGTTTGTTAAAACTTCAATCAGCTAGAATTACGCTAGCGTAACTGCATGCTGAGTCCAGAGCTCACTGCAATATAAGAAGGTGGGAGTTCAGGTTTACTGCATTTCAGTAAAGGCTGATGAGGGCTCCTCATTTTGATACCATGTTTGAATAAAAGACATTACTTTTAAGCAACCCATTCATAAAAGTTTCAAGGTTTTTCTTCTTGTTATCTCAGCAAATGGCAAGATCTTTATCCACAGGGATTCATTATACTGAACTTGTTTACCTTTTCATTACTTCATCAAAGAAGGTATCAAAATTTAATTTGTTCTCAAAATAAATTACAAACATTAATATAGTCATAAATATCACTGCTTTAGCCGGATTCCTGATTTAATTCCATTACATATAGCTATTTAAGATTTCATCGAAGAAGAAGAATTGTTTAATAGCTCTTTTTTCCTTTACTAACAAACACTTCTAGCCCTTACAAAAGGGACACATAAGAAAATAGGTAAGAACAAAATAATTAAAATTGCATCAAGAGCCTCAAAAGACAAAAAGGCGGGGTAGTGGCAAGATGCATTCTCCAAAAAAAACAACTGTGAAATCACTCACCAGTGATATTTCTGCTAACTTTGCCCCTTTTATATGCCAACAGATTATTTCAAAGCAGCTTCTCAATAGACCAAAGTAGATTCACAACAGCCTACTGCTTCTCAGTCAAATAGATATATACTATGAAGCACTGACCTGTCTCCTAGATGTTAAGTCATTATATATTATACAAATCAGGATCTTCGAACCAATGTCTCCAAAATCAGACAAGGCATCAGGACTTAAACTCCATTTTATTATCTCTATTTTGATAATAAATAGAATATAAACAAATACTATGTGTCCCCAGAAACAGGAGAACTTGTATATCAAACCTAAAAAATTAGACTTTTGAGGAAAGGGAGAACTATATAGATATCTGACTTACTCTAAGATAAAACAACACAGCAAATACATACTTATTTCTAAATAATGAGGCATCTTAACAGACTACACCACAAGAAGATACACGTGTCACGTTCCCCTCATCCAAAGTTCAAATTCCTTTACAAGAAAAACTTCATACAACCCTAACTGTATGTAAAGACAGTAGAATTCTTATGGCAGATATCTGCTTTTGTAACTAAGAGGTTGTACTCAGGACACTTATCACACTAATTAAAACATATTTTTATAAAACATTGCTCTCCCTTTACCCTTGAAACAGCTGATAGGTCTTATTTGATATGTTTACTTATTTAAAAAGACAAGAAATTGCTTATAGAACTCACAAATTAATTTACTGAGGAGTTGCATACACTCTTGCAGTTTGATTTTCAGAATCAAACAGTTATCACAGAATTCCAGTATAGGTAAGGTTGGAAGAGACCACTGTGGGTCATCTGGTCCAATCTCCTTGCTCAAGGGTCATCCTCGAGCACATTGCACAAGATTGTGCATTGACTCTTTGGGCAATCTGTTCCAGTGCTTGGTCACAGACACAGTAAAGAAGTTCTTCCTCGTGTTCAGGTAGAATTTTCTGTGCCTCAGTTTCTGCCCATTGCCTCTTGTCCTATGGTTTGACACCACCAAGCAGAGCCTGGATCCATCTTCTCAACACTCTCCCTTCAGATAATTATAAAGAATGATGAGGTGCCCTCTCAGCATCTCTTCTTGAGGCTGAACATGCCTAACTCCCTCAGCCTTTTCTCATAGGAGAGATGTTCCAGTCCCTTAATCATCTCTGTTGCCCTCTGCTGGACCCTTTCCAGAAGCTCCATGTTTCTCGTACTGAGGAGCCCAGAACTGAACACAGCACTCCAGATGCAGCTGCCCAAGGGCTAAGTAGAAGGGCAGGATCACCCCAGGATACCATTGGCCTTCTTGGCCCACAGCTTGTCCACCAGGACCCCCAGGTCCTTCTCTGCAGGGCTGCTTTTCAGCAGATGGGTCTCCAGCCTGTACCGGTACTTGGGGTCATCCCTCAGCAGGTGCAAGACCCTACAATTGCCTTTATGGAATTTTACACAGTTCCTCTCTGCCCATCTCTCCAACCTGTTAAGTTCCTTCTGAAGGGCTGCACTCTGGGGTATAGCCACTCCTCTCAGCTTTGTGCCACCAGCAAACTTGCTGAGGAGTCATCTGCTCCTTCACCCAAGTCATTGATGAATAGGCCAAACAATACTGGGCCCAGAATCCACCCTTGCAGGACACCACTAGTGACAGGTCTCCAACTGTGCCACCGACTGTAACCTTCTGCGATCTTCTGTTCAGCACCTCACTGTCCACCCATCCAGTCCACACTTCCTGAGTTCTCCCTATGAGGTTATTATGAGAAACAATGTCAAAAGCCTTGCTGAAGTCAAGGGAAAAAAAAAAAATAGAACCTCATCACATTTCAGGTTCTCCTTTTAAAAAAAATGAAAGCATTAACAAGGAGAACAATCCCTTGTCAAGGATGCATCTATCAAGCTTCTCATAAAAGTCTGAACTGATAACTTACAACCCACTAAGAAAAACTTAGCTGGCTGCAAACACTGCCTTTATGTTTCAAAAAGGAGCATTTCAAATAGCAACACAAAGAACAGAAACTATCAGTTGGTTTTCTGATGAGGTTTCTCTGTGGGAC